TCCTCAACCTTTTTTGCAATTCTCCAGCCTTTGTCCTTTACTTTTTGGATCTTTTCACGCCTCTTCACAAAATACTCAACAAGTCTACTTTGCGTCATCTTGACCAATGTCGTTACTGGCAAATTACGTGCACCCCGTAGGACCACAATTGCATCTATGACACAATCCACATCTTCATCGTCACATATATCATTACCAATGTAGAATATAGCATCCTTACCAACTGTAGACTCTACCCTGGCGATCATCCGTTGAACGCCATGGCTCCCGTGTAGCCCCAATTTTTGGTTAATCCTCCCCTTCAACTCATTGTACGTAGTGCCCCGTTTGATTTTCAACATTTTCGTTTTTCCTTCAAATTGAACACCGTTAGGGCCTTCATAATGCTTTCCATCATAGTAAATCATGGTAACATACATGTTTGGACTTGAGCTCATCTTTCACACGAATTTTGGGGGTAGGAATCAGATTTTAGGGGTTAGGGTTCGGATTTAGGGGAAACAATTGAGAAATAAAGGAAAATGACAATGATTTCACAATTACTATGTCTTAGAGGTGGTGGGATGAAATGGAAGGGTGATTGGAAGGTTCCCAGCTGACAAACAAGAGAAAGAGACCAAGAGAGAAGTTTTGATTTCGAATATTTTGAAAATGAGCCCAAGAGAGGTCTGGATATAGGGTTTTTCGCGATCTTTAGTCGACTAAATAATGTGCTTAGTCGACTAAAAGTGCAAACAATTTAGTCGATTAAAATGAGTTTTTAGTCGACTAAAATTCGCGTTTCATAATTTCTGAGTTTAGCCCATTTAGTCGATTAAAAGTGCAACATAATCGACTAAATGGGGGCAGGATGGTGGATAGTTCTGGGGGAGGGGCAAATTGGTTATTAATTATTTAATTAGGGGCAAAAGGGTCAAAAAACCTCAATTTCAAACTCATTTAATTTACTGTGATCTGTTTAAGTTTTGGTTTGTAAATCACTAATATTTTTTTAAAGGTTTGTTTTACATTTACTCTCCATTAACGTGCCATTACATTCTTGATTCCTTTTTGTCTACTGTGATTAAAATTTCAGATCACATTGCTTTAAAATTAAAATTAGCAATGATAGCTCCTTATGCTTCACAATCCAATGAAATTGCTGAGAGAAAGAACTGGATATTGAATAAAATGATTAATGTTATGTTGTTGACGTCTGGTTTACCACAAGGATTTGTGGGGGAAGTTATTTTAATGGTAAACTATATATTTAATAAAGTACCTTACAAGAAAACTAAGAACATCCCCTATGAAATGTGAAAAGGTAAAAAGTCTCTTTGAATTATCTTAAAGTGTGAGGGTGTTTGGCAAAAGTCATGATTCCAAAACCGAAAAGGGTTAAGATCGGACCAAGACAGTGAGGTATGTGTTCATTGGATATGCACATAATAATGGTGTATATTGATTTTGATGCAAATTGAAACATCGACTCCAGTGACACCAGGTCCACAAGTGCGTATGTGTATACACTTGGTGGGGGTGTTGTGTCTTGAAAATCATCCAAGCAAGCATGTATTACTAGGTCGACCATGAAAGCAAAAAATTATTGCCTCGAATAGAGTTTGTGGGGTAGCCGAGTGGCTGAGTAACTTCCTTGGGGATATTCTGAATTGTCAAAGCCAGTGCCTACAGTGCGCATACACTGTGACAGTCAGTCAGTGATCAGGAGGGCAAGCAATGTTATTTGTGATGGTAAGTCTCGATATATATATATATATATATATATATATATATATATATATATATATATATATATATATATATATATATGGAAAAAATGAAAATTCAGTGATTGGACCGTCTAGTGCACTAAGTTCTCCCGGGAGAACATAGTGCACTGGACCAAATTTTATATCCAGTTACTGTACACTCACTAAATCCTATATATATAGTGAATGTACAGTAACTGGATATAAAATTTGGTCCAGTACACTATGTTCTCCCGGGAGAACTTAGTGCATTGGACGGTCCAATCACTGAATTTTCATTTTTTCCATATATATATACTAGAGACATGATACCGTGAGACAATTACTCTCCAGTGGTATTATTACGAATCTGTTAACTAAAGGTGTAACTAGAGAGTTGATGTATAATTTATCGAAAGGAATGAGTTTAAGGCCATTAATTGTTGATCATTGTGGATACTCTACTTAGAAGAGTAGAGATCCCACGAACTAGGTTCAAAGAGAAAACCAAGCGATGATCGGCGGATAAGCACTGTGTATTTTTTTCAAAAATCATACTCACTCCTAGACAAGGCAGTGCATAAGTAAAGGGTAAGCAAGTAGACTTTTAATGATTTCTAATTCTGATATGTTTAGAAGATGTATGTTGAGATGCATCGCCAGAAATCACCTATGTGGATGTGAAGTGAGGGCCGCTTCTAGGAGAATATCACAAGGTACACCTGTAGAACCAGGGGGTGTCCACGGCAAAAAATGGACACAAACAGAGGACCAACCATGTCCGACGAACAATTGTGTGTTTCCTATTGTCTTGGTTTACACACAAGGTCGACAGTTACAAGGCGTTGAGTCCACCGATTGACCAAGTAAATTCGATAAGCCTCACTAGGGACGGGTACAAGGCACTGCGTCCACCGATCCCGATGCAGTTATTTCTCACTAATCAATTGCACATTGCATTCGAGTCTCACATGCATACGGTCTCGATAGTTGAACTTCTTATTCATGTGGGGATTGTTGGAATTAATTTTAAATTAATTATTTTACGAATAAAAAGTTTGATTTGAAAATACGTGTTATTCCGTCGATGAACGGATGTGTCGTTTCATCAATGAATGGATCAATTGTTTCATCCTTGAATGAGTGTGTCTTTTCAATCGTGACCCTATGCTTTCTATAAATATTAGAGAATTAGAATTTTAAGGAGATATTTTTCTTTGCATTTGCATTCCATTATTCTAGTGAGATTGGCTAGGCATAGGTTGAGTTCGAAGGGGCTATTCTATGTGGAAGTGCCATCACGAGAATATAGGTAATCTGTTCTATCCTGGGAGACAGTTGTTCACGAATCTTAGACACCACACAGAGGGCAATATTGTTTTTAGGACACAGTGTCTACAAGAAAAAATCTTATTAGTGACAAAATTTTATGAAATTTCGTCACAAATTCTTGCGTCGCAAGTAAATTTCGTCACAAATTCCTGAGTCGCAAGTTTATTTGTGACGAAATTTGATTAGTTGTGTCAAAAATTTTCATTTGTGACAAAATTTATGACAAAATTTTTGGTCACAAGTGAACTTTTTTCTTGTAGTTCACATTTGTATATTTTTGTACGGTACCCTTTAACTGTGTATTATTGCATATTTTAATTTCTTGTGTGCATTTTACGGAACTATGAATATTATCAAAATAATTTCTCTAACACATATTATTCCCTCCTAATGATTTTAAAATCATTTTGTTCAACACTCTCTCATTGGAAGGATCCACAAGCTAATGGAGAAAGGTTGGTGTATTAAAATATCCCATCTTCATAGGGAGGGTAATGAGGTGGCTGGCTTCGATGGCTATAGATTCTGATTAGGCTTTACACACCTTAGACAATTTCCCTCCCATTTGTGTGGAGACTGTTAGGAAGGATTTTCAGGGAGTTTGTACCGCCAGAATGATCCATGTGTAGGCGTAGGCCTCTGTTTGTATTGTTTGATTTCCTTTTTAATCCAAAAAATAATAAATATCATTTTATTTTGTTTTCAGTGAACTAGATTGTTACAATCGAACCATCATCAATCTTATAATCGTAATAGATAGCAACTTGATTGATATCATATAGCGATGGATATATAGGAAAAAGAAAGTAATAATTAAGTAGAAGGAATAAATGGAAAGGCCTCATTGCAAAGGAAACAAGGAGCTCAGATAGTGTGTGAACAAAGCATGACGATGAGGGGGTTTGAAATAAATATGCTTTCTTTGTAATCTTTACCTTTAGATCAATTGAATAATGTTAAAAATGAAGTATAGTTAACATCTATGATATTAGCATACGCACTTGGTGCATAATAATTCACTCCCCTTGATTCATTCCGAAACTAACTAATTTTATTTTGTTTGTATATATACTTGTCACTAGGGGTGAAACTGGGCTGGGCCGGGCCGGCCCACAGGGGCCTCAGCCCAGCCCATTAGTGGTCTGGCCTAGCTCGGCCTTTTTACTTGACATGTTGGGCTTGAGCTGGTGTAAAAGTTTGATTACATAATTGGGCCAGAATGTTAATTATTAAGCCTGGCCCATGAGCCTCCAGGTTGGCCCAATTATTCACCTTCATATTTTTTTATCACAGCTACTTCCGTGTTTCCTTGAGTGAAGAGTGAAGACTTAAGATAACTGAAGAGGGACTCTTCTCCAATTGTTAGTGCAGCTCTCTCCCTCACCTCGAATCTTGTGCACGTGCAGCTCCAGTCCTCCAGCCTCCAGGGGAGAGAAGATGAAGATAAGTTTGTGGCTACTCTTGTAGTCATTATGATGTGTTTGTTGTATTCATGTAATTATTTTAATTTATATAGTATGGATTGACTTGTTAGATCTGATGAAATATATGTTATTTAGTTTGAGCATTTTGCTTTTGACAGTGACTTAAATGCAGATTGTGAAGAGTTATTGTTGTGATTCATGGTTCTGTTTGAACGTTAAAATTGTCATTTTTGTTTTAACAATAGAATTTGAGTATTTTGTGGAGTTGATTCATGGTCTGCTTGGAAGTTAAAAATTAATAGGCCAACGGGCTGGGCCGGGCCATTTCTTTTTTTATAAATGGGCCAAGACAGACTAACAGTTAGACTCATACTATGGTATCGGGCCAGGCCAAATTGAAATTTTTTGACATAGACTTGGGTTGTACGGGGCAAAGCTCGACCCAGCCCAGCCCACTTTCACCCCTACTTGTCACGTTCACATAATAATTTTATACACAACACCTCCAAAAATCTAATATTACAGCAACAAGTGATAACTTACTTTGTTTACATACTAAGATGATGGAAAGATATCTTTGCTACTTTTGTTTGAAATTCTCACCTAGAACATAACAATAGAGCTCCTATACATAAAAAGATTAATGAATAAAATAAAAAAAGAGCTCACAATTCAATATCTACCAATAAAAGTTTCAAGTGAGATTTAATTGCCATAAAATAAAAAATTAAGTAGATAATGGTATCGAAAGTAAAATTAATTTACTATCGAGGAAGAAATTCGGTTATAGACATTTCATTGATAGAGAATAGTGTGGGATCGTTGATAGATTGACTGGAACATGATTCATCTGCAGATGATTTTGGACCCATTTTATTGTGAAACAAAAATGCAGGTTCTTGTGGAGTTGGCAATTCAATAAATTCAGTGCTAAGATATGAAACAATTGTTGCCATTCCAGGTCTAGCATCAGGGTCCTGTTGAACACTTAATAAACCAATTTGAATGCACTTAATGACTTCAATTTCAGAAATTTTTTCCTTAATATTGGGGTCCAATATACTTAGCGGTGTTTGATGCTTCCACTCTCTCCAAACCTGTTACAATTTGGAAGATAAAATAACAAAATCATTATATACAATTATGTTTGAATCAACCCAATGTACATTGGATATATGGCATACAAGCATTAATGCAAGGAAACAAATTGTTAGATTATTATACTCACATAACTCAAGAGACCACCAGCAACATGGAGCGATTCAGATGAACCTAGATTCTTTTTTCCAGCAATAATCTCTAAAACCATGACTCCAAAGCTAAAAACATCTGATTTCTCTGAAAATTGCCCAAGCATTGCGTATTCTGGAGACATATAACCACTATAAAATAAAAGAAAAAAATCAATAAATTTTGTTAAAACATACCTTATGAATAGGAGAGAAAGAAGAAGAAGTGGATGAACAATATCAAAACTTACTACGTTCCGATAATTTTATTTGTACTTGCATGGTCTTCATTTATTTCAACAATTCTAGCCAAACCGAAATCAGAGATTTTTGGAATCATATTGCCATCTAATAGAACATTACTAGGTTTTAGGTCACGATGGATAACTTTGAGTCGAGAATGTTCATGTAAATAATGAATTCCTCGAGCAATTCCTTGTATAATATTATAACGTTCAAGCCAGCTTAACAACTTTTTCCTCTGAGAATCTACAAAAAAATTTAGGTGAAAAATGTAAGAGTTAAACAAGTTTTGTAATCAATAAATTGAATTGAATCAAGTTCTTATAAAAGCACATATACATAATGCAAGAATCGAAATATTAATTAATTGAAGAGGTTAAGGTGAAAAGTGTCAAACCAAATAAAAAGTAGTCAAGGCTGTTGTTGGGCACATATTCGTAAATAAGCATTTTCTCTCGTTCATCAACACAAAAGCCAATGAATTCCACTATATTTCTATGTTGAAGCTTCGCTATCAATAAAGCTTCATTCTTGAACTCATTAACACCCTGCTTAGAACTTCTTGAGAGTCTCTTTACAGCTATTTGTCGTCCATCAAGAAGAATGCCCTAAAAGTATAAATTTTTATTTAAGTGAAAAATAAGAATATAAACACAAATTTGATCACATTTTCTAACCTTGTAAACTTCTCCAAATCCACCTTTGCCAATCTTATTCTCTTCTGAAAAGTTGTTGGTTGCTGCTTCAATCACAGCCAAATCGAATTGCAACTGCTCCAGAGTGGCACTTTCATGACCAACTAGATCAAACATGATTCAATTGTTAAACTATGTTTTCACACTTCTTGGAGCTTAAGAAGCATAGGTTTAAAAAAAATTGTAATACATACAGTTTTCTCTAAGAATAGTCTCATGCCTCTTTCTTGCTTTTCTCTTTAGCACATACCAGCCAAACAAGAAGAAGAACATTGAAACAAATGTGGCCACAACAATGAATATAATTGTTCGCGACCGGCCCTTTATTTTTTCTGCACAAAACAATCAACACACATCTTACATTGAGTAGTATAATTTATGGCAAGTCGTGAAATGTTGATAACAACATGAATAATCAAACAACAGCAATTTGCTTAACCATTCTAAATTTTATGGTGGAATGAAGAAGAACATCAATTTGCTCGATCATTATAAATTTTAACAATATCTTCTATTTATAAATTAATGAAAACATATACAAAAATAAACAATTATAACTAAAAGATGTAGTGAAGTTGACAAACTTTCTATATAGACAAAACTTATTAATGACAAATTTACTAAAGATATATTCTGATTAGGAGCAAATGAATCATAATTTAATGTCGCCATGTCATAATCTTTCTTGCTCAAACCAATTTGATTTTTTTAATTATGAAATTAAATATATTGATATACTATATGCAATTATGCATGCAAGGTGTACTGGTGGGTCGTTAAAGTTGATATATTTGTCCAATTGACACGTCAAAAGTAACCAACGTTGACTTGTAGATTCCTAGCTATTCATGTCAGGATTGCTAATTGGACTCTCTAGAAAGCACATTATAATCCACGGGGTTGAGTTAAGTGGTAAGGTATTTGGATTCGCTTAAGCAAAAATTTGACTTCAAGACTTTGTGTATGCAGAAAATTATCGCTGAAAGACTCACCTGTCAATGCTAGGTAATCTACCCGGGTCGGACTGGACATAGTAGGGGCGTAACCCAGAAACTAGTGGAGCAATAATAAAAAAAAAAAAAAAAGCACATTATATGAAATTTAGAAGAGATGAAAAAGAATGTGCGTGCTTTATTTATCTCAAAGTATTAATTTAATTGTTAAATAAAATAAAATAATATCAATTCTTTAAAAATAAATTAATATTAAAGCTTTTTTTTAATATATAAAAAGAAAATCTTATTATTTAAAATCTAATTCATGGCGTAAACTTAATTTTTCTAACTAGTAATTTTCCTGTTTTAAATAAAATCATTGATGGATACTTTAAAAAAATGGATTTTTGTCTTATTTAAGGTGTGTATGACAACCTTCACATAATCAGCTTTTCTTCATTTTTTATTTCTGGGAACAGAAATATATAGAAATAATGTTTTGACAAAATCGATATATATTTTTTGTTCCCGATAATAAGCTGATTCAATTTCTGTACTGGAAAATAGAAAAAAGAATTATTTTTTTTTTGCATTTTTGTTCTCGGGCACAAAATAAAAAATATTGTCTCTCTTAATCACTCTCTGCCACTACCATCATCACCACCACCACCGCCGTCATCAATCATCACCACCATTGTTGCAGCCACTGCCGTCACCACCACTACCATTCCACCACTATGCCGCCACCATTACCACCATCACGCAATCGGCACTACCACCACAACTACCACCACCTCCATGCAACCATTACCACCTCTGCCACCACCATCGCTACCAATACAACCATCGTTGCAGCCACTTCCATCACCAATACCACCGCAGTCGCCACCATTACCACTACCACGCCACCACCACCATTGGCATTACTACCATCACCACGCCACTGCCGCCACTACCATTACCATGTCACCGCCACCACAACCACTACACCACCACCGGCATTACTATCATCACCACGCAACTGCCGCCACTACCATTACCATGCCACCGCCACCACAACCATTATACCACCACAATCGCCACCATTATAATGACCTTCACCGGTAATTTTTATTATAGATATTTTAATTTGAGGATTTAGATGTCAAATATGTGTTTAGAATGTGATTTTATATAGTTTGACACTTTTCGCGAAAATCTCGTGAATAGTGATTTCTACCGGGTATTTTGTATTGCTATTTAAGCAACCAGTAGAGTCCAGAAAAGAATAAATGATGTGATAAGTATATGGAAGTCCAATATATGCCAACTAAATCATTTTAGACCAAAAATGATAAGTTAGAAGTTTACAGTTTTGCGTGCACAGTTAGTGATTCACAGTGCATTTTGTCAAAAACAGTGTAGAAATCCAACTGTGAATTGTTTATACTGTTCCTTAGGGAATAAAAGTAAATGTAAATGAGCTCAGAAAAATAAAATTATATCCATAGCTTTGAGTTAATACCGGGTCAAGTTAAGTGAGATTAAATGTGAGAAACTACCATATTATTTCCTAAGAAATTAAGTAACTAAGTGATGTGTCATTTGCCACTATTCATCAAACTCTCAACCTCTCTTCTCTCTCTTCAAGGCCGCAGCAGCCATAGTTCGGGGGGCTAGGGTTTGTTTTCTTTCTCCTCTCATTCTCACTCAATAATTCACCAAAATATCAAGTGTCTTCCATGAAATTTTAAGTAGAAAACCTAGTGAATCCAACCATCTACTCCATTTTCCTTGAAATTTTTTTTGTTGAGAGATATTTCCTCCCCTAATTTTGTGACCGTATTCATCAAGAGGAGAAATTTAGAGTTTTTGATTAAGCTTTGCTTGGAGGTTGTTCATTGGATCTTCTAGGAATTGTTTGTGGTAAGGAATCTCTTCTCCATGAGTTTAATTTTTGGATTTGAAGCTTTGAATTTTAAGAGCATTTGGGTGGAAAAAATGTTGGATTTGAATTTGCGTTGGATTATTGATGAATATGATGTAGTAATGAGAGGTGAACATGTATATGAATGTAAAGTTTGGAAAATTCCATTGAATACTTCCACCCTTGTTCGATTTACATTCGTTACGTTGTCCGATTTTAGACTTCGTTGGACTGACACTTGTTGTCATATTCGGATGGTCACAAGCCACTGCTTAAGGTCACTAAGAAAAGATTAATACTTAGAAAAAGAATTATGATTGATAAGAAATAAGGGATGTAAAGCTATATATCATGTGAAATGAAATAAAGAAAATGAAAAAGTTAGCTTGTATTTTTGTAAGCTAATGTAAGATTATAAGTTAAGTCTTCCGCTCATGCATATTTTAGTATCATATGTATGTTAATTGAACCGGCTCGCGAAGGGGATATTACAACCATTACCACCATCATCTCTGCAGCCACTACCATCCCCATCACCACCATGCCATTACCACCAGTACCACCACCACCACTACCGCCGCAACCACCACAGCCACCATTACAACCACCATCGCCACTAGTACCACCACCACCACTACCGCCGCAACCACCATCGCCACCATTACAACCACTATCACCACGCCGCCACCATTGCTACAGCCACCACCACCACTACCATCACTACGCCACCGCCACCACCACCATCGCCATCATTACTGCCACCATTATCACCACTATCTCCGCAGCCACTACCGTCACCACCACCACCACTATTGTTGCAATCATTGTCGTCACCACTACCGTCACTATGCCACTGCCACCATCGCCACCATTACCACCACCATCTCCGCAGCCACCACCGCCGCAGCCACTGCCGTCACCACTATCACCACCATGCTACCGCCACCGCCACCGCCACCATCGCCATCGCCACCGCCACTATTGTCACCACCATCTTCGCAGCCACTATCGTTACCACCACCACCATGTCATCACCACCACTGCTATCGCCGCAGCCACTGTCGTCACCACTACCATCACATGCCACCGCCACGTCACCACCAGCACATCATATGAAAAGGAAAGTGATGATCCGAAATAATTTTACGCTTAATAGGAATATTTTTTATTCTATTATTTGTTGTGTTATCAAACACAATTTTCATTCTCCAAATAAAAATAGAATATGTTATCGAACATATTTTTTTTCTCAGAAATTATTCCAAGGCACAAAAATAAAAAAGAATTATTTCTTTTCAACACAATGTCAGGTAACAGAATAGTTGCCATGCACATCCTTAATGAAAAAAGAGAATTTTTTGATGTATTGATTCAAAATTCAAATAATATTGTAAATTGCGCATTCAAATCGAGGATGAAAAAAAAATGTTGTTTATGTATCGATAAGTCTCACATGGGTGAAATACGTGACTTAGATGCATATATACTATATGCGACTTGCAACACCACCACATAGTTGATGCATCTTCAGCCATGCATAAATCTTACCTTTTCCCACACATAACTTAAATATATACATCCCCTCATACGTATATTAAAATATTATTTTATTAAAATATTTTAATTTTAAATCAATCCAATAAAAAGTTGCCCTTTATGCATCAGCATGGTGATAAGCAATGAAGCACCGACATCTGATTTTTTTAAAAATGCGGGTTGGAAATATTTCAAACACCGACATGTTTCAAACTTGCAATTAATATTTGAGAGAGGATATTTTTACTATCAAAATTTTTTACTGCTAACTTACTATCTATCTATCTAATCACCATTGAATCAAAGAGAGAGAATGCTACAAAGTTTTTGAAAAAAAGAGAAAATATTGATCCAATGATAATTAGATAAGTAGTAAATTGGTAGTAAAAAATTTTGGTGATAAGAATATCTCTCCTCTTAATATTTTGGGATATATAAAATTGGTTAAATTTTTGGAACCGTAGCTAGCTGCTTCTTGTGCATGAGGTGTTGTCGGAGAATGAAAAGAAGAAAGGGGAAGCTCTTATTGGTTCAGTGGCGATGGAGATCTCGTCACAGATTTGAGGTTGGAGAAGAAAAAAGAATTGATGGAGGAGATAAAAGAAAATTCACATGACTCCCTAGAGGCCCACAATCCTCTTCACTCTAGTCTACTCACAGGTAGGGGTGTAAATGGGCTGGGCTTTGGCCTGGCCTGCTGGCCTATTAAAGAATTTATTTGTAGGTCAAATCCGTCCTATTTTTAAAAATAAGAAAGCCTGACATGGCCTACAGGCCTTGTAGGCCTACCACTGTAGATACTAAGCAAAGAAAATAATTGTATAGAGCAAAGAAAGTTTCATTCATAAATGCCCTAGTACTTCTCATAAGAAAAAAATAACAAACAAGAAAGAATCAACATAATACCCCAGCTTTAGAATGTATATCATAGAGGAATAGAGTCAAAGAAATGGGGAAAGTAAGAAAAATACAATTATTGAGTGCTGAAATAAAGTCCACAAGAGAATGTCATTCATCTAAAAATTAGGGTTGGTATTGGTACTTTGCCATGCCACATAAAATAAATATTATTTTATTATTTTATTTTTAATAAATTAAATAGGCCAGCCTATAAGGCTTTGGGTCAGGCTTGACAAAATTGGCCTACGACCTATTTGTTAAAAAAGTTTTCTTAAAAGCCTAAGCCTACTCTACTTTTCTAAAAGGTCAGGCCAAGCCAAACTTAATGTAGACCCGGCTGTAGGCTGGGCTGGACCAGCCTGACCCATTTACACCCCTACTCAGAGATAGGGGTGTTCGCGGTCTGGATTGGATCGGTTTTGGAAGCAAAAATCATCCGATCCAATCCCTTCGGTTTGATCATATAATCATCCATTCGGTTTTGATTTTTTTTCAAATCCGATCCGATCCAATCCAATTTTTTTCGGTTTGGATTGGATCAGTTATGGAAGCAAAAATCATCCGATTCAATCCCTTCGGTTTGATCATATAATCATCCATTCGGTTTTGATTTTTTTTCAAATCCGATCCGATCCAATCCAATTTTTTTCGGTTTGGATTGGATCGATTATCGGTTTTTTGAAAATCCTAAAATTTATTTCATGATTATTGTGCAAATAACATCTTTTGTATATATTGGCTTTGATAAAAAAAAAATTTGAAATATGAAAGCATTAGTAAACTATAATATAATTTTTTTAATTTTGGCAATGAGATATGAAGCTCTATAAAGATAAAATTTTGTGGATGAGATATGACTAGATTTTTTCTTGGGTTTAGTTGATGGGATAAGGGGTCTTGGGTTTAGAAATTTTTAGGCTATGATTAGGGAAATACCCAAGTAGGTAGAGAAAAATTAATATATTTGATCGGTTTGGATTGGATCGGTTTTCATCAACCGATCCAATCCAATTAAAATTTGCGGTTTTTAATCGGTTTTCGATTTTTCGGTTTTCAGTTTATTCGGTTATCGATTTTTCGGTTCAGTTACCGCGGTTTGAATCGGTTTGGATCGGTTGACGAACACCCCTGCTCAGAGGTACACTTTACCAGGATGCTATGCCCAATGCGTGTTAGAAGAATCACATGGATAACACGTATCTTGTTCCAACCAATCAAGAAGCAGCTATTGGATTTTCGCCCAACCGATAACACGTATCTTGTTTCTAGCCTTGATTCCCAATCAAATATTGGGCCAGACCTTGACAAGATATTTCTCCATGGGTCAGCAAATGTAACGGGCCCAAATTTCCAAGAAACAAAAGATAAAGCAAGAGGCCACTATACTTGGCTGAAAGGAATGAAAACTATATTATTCAAGATATTTACTGGTTATATAATTTTCCACGAGGTGTTATACGAATTAAATATAAATTATATTATATATATTAAAAATATTATTTAATATCAAAATATGTTTTAATATGTTAAAATTTAATAATTTTTAAAAAGGTTTTATAAGAATTATGTGGTAAGAAAAGTGATTATGTAATGTTATAGAAATTCGTTTTGCGTACCTTAGTTTCTTTTGCTTCAAAAAGTGCGGACTCCACAAAATATTACATGTGTAAAAAATAATTTTGTGTTACGGTCACATAATAGATACAAACCCTTTTTGAAATTAATGTGTCACGTGTGGTGTCGGTGTAATGCAACACACGTGATAAAGCCTTGAAAAAGCAAAATATTGCTATAGTAAGGAATTTACCTGTGCGTCTTGACTGAGAAGAACTACTACCTGGCGTGGGTGGCTGAGCTTGGTCACCGCCCATGTAAAATTGGAGCAATTCAAACCTGAGATTGCAGCTAGGATACAGAACTCTTCCGCCTACGCTTCCCAAACGAGACCATGGAATTGATGTTCCAATCACATCTCCCAGACACCCTCCGCAATCAGCACTTGACAAATCCGGTGTACATTGAGCAAGACTATAAAGCGTTTGTAAGCCATTCAATTTTACTGATTTTGTCAGGAATCTCTGAACACTGTCCCCCGTCTCGTTAGCCAGTGTAGCTAACATATTTGATAATATTGAAGTGAAATAGTCTTGCTCTGGTATGGGACTGAAGGCACTGGTGATATTCAATTGAGAAAATTGAGGACTTTTATCTATTTGGGAGAAGAAATTGCGAGATGAATAGCGAAGCAAGCATTGGCTGTACCAAATTATAGCTTCTTGGAACAAATGGCACTCTGAGAATATTCGATTCGAAGCGTTTAATACGCAATGTCCACATAGGCTAAAGGGCATGTCACCTCGGCACATGAAGAGGCCATACACAGTCTCGGCCGCCACAGTAGTCTTATGGAAAAACTCCTTGCCACCGGTGGCGTTGGAAGATAAGTAACGGAGAAGGATCCTGAGGTCTGCTTGGAAATCGTTGTCGGTAGTTTTGTTACTCGAGCAATTGTGGGAAAGATAAATAGGATGTTCTGTGAATCTTGAATCTGCTTCGAAAGTATTTGTTGCAGGAATGAACGCTGGAGCATCAGTTGTTGAAGTGAGATAAAAAGGGTACAATTCATACCTAATATTACAGCTTGGATATAAAACTCTCCCTCCCTGCTTTCCTTCACAGCACCATGGAAGGTCTCCTATAACTCCACTGAGACAGGTTATGCAATCGTGAGGTGACAGGTCCGGGGTGCACTGAGCTAGACAGTAAAGAGATTGAAATTCAGTGATTGATGCTTTCTTTGTGGCATACTTCTTACCTATAGGATGATTGGCTGCTTCATCTGCAGTTTCATTCATCGTGGAAAACAATAAACGCATGAAACTTTCCTGGCTGGAGACATTGGCGGTGTTCAACAGGCCAACTCTAGGCCTAGTGTCCACGGTGGAGAAAAAAGAGCGGTTGGAAAACCGAACCATGCACTCATCGTACCAAATCACAGCTTTTTTGGACAAGGAGCAATCCGAGGATAGTCGCTCGTTTGCATTCACGATGCATTGTTGACAAAGCTGAGAGGGGACGTCACCCCTGCACAAGAACAGTGCATAGACTGATTCAGATGAGTTATTGACCGTCACCGTGTTATTATAGAATTGGGTGTCACCCTTGGCGTTAGATGACAAGGAAGAGAGGAGTGTCCTGAGCTCGAATTGAAAGGCGCTATCGGTGGTTGTTCCGTTAGTAGTGCAACTTTGGTATATATAAACAGGGCTATCCTGTGCCCCACTAGTTGAAAAACTGAGGAACGTAACAAGGATAAAGATGAAGGGAATCTTATGGAGAGACATGGATGTGTTACTTTTTGGAAGCTTTACCATGGCTGCCAATGTTGCAGTTTAGGGTTGGTGAACATTATTTAATGGCAGAGGGATAGATGCAAGCAAGTCAAGTCAATGATGAGATAAGTCAAGCAAGAATAATTGCACAGACGGATGGACGGCTAAGCTTGTGGAGCAAAACATAGGATTGATGACCAAAAGTTCCCTCAAAACGTGGTGGGTGTTTAGGTTGGCCCCATTCTGGGCAGAAAAATGATCATTTGATGGTGAATCTTGAATTATTGTCAAATGTAACTGTTACGAAAATTTAATATAATTAAATGAGAATATCACTTCAAAATATTAATCCTAATACAATAACTTTAAATTTGGGTTTAGACTTTCAGGAGGGCCACAAAAGATAAGAGCATAAAATATATATCTTAACTGTATACTTAATAGAATTAAAGTTTATCTATCTTAGGTAATTATATATCTTAATAATTGTTAATTGGGAGTTACTAAACTGATGTTGCTTGAGATATATCTCATGTATGTGAGATAAATATGTAGGGTCCACACTGTAAAACAAAAGAAAAAAAAATTAAAAAAAGTTTGCACTAAATTCGATGAGTGTATAACGTGAGAGAGCTATCTCCAATGAAATGAGAAAAGTTTTTCCCTTGTTAATTTGTCACTTTGGAATCTTTTTATACATATAATTTGATATAAGATTTTATGATTCTCATTCAGCATGTAAATTGAAATTTTTTTACACACCCTTTGATTTGTGTGGTGACGTGAGTTCTACACATAATTTTTCTAATATATGGTCCCGCATATTTTTTGTCTCAACATTGTCACGTAACTTCAAAATTATAAAACCCTTTGATATATAGTATAGGAAATTCTTTAGCCTCTTGAATCAGTTTAACTATAGTGATCGATGTGATTTTGATAACCTCTTAATCTATTTAAATTGTTCATGTTTGTGGGGGGAACGATGTTATAATGCTCAAGAGAATATTGAAATAGTAAAACGAACTAAGTCTCGCCCAATGTTTATGGGGGGAACGATGTTAGATATATGCTGACTAACATGTAATTTTAGAGCTCTATGTGATACAGCCAATGCCACAAGAATCTGCATAATCAAACCCATTTTTTTAAATTTACTAGCAACTGAAAATTTCCATGAACCGTTTGAATGTTTCCCAATAATCCCCCCCTTTGAAATGGATATAGGGTCCAAATTGATAATATCTTGGTTCAACAGCCTTCCGAGCCTTTTCTGGTTGGCTTGTGTGATGAGAAAAACAAAACTTGATTTTCTACTCACAAAAATTTCACAAGAGCATTGAAATTGATCTCATTTTGTTGAATGGCTTCTCTAACCACAACAGCGTCCCTATCAGGTGGGTCAAGCATCCACAAGGACAAAGCAGTGCAGTTCATGGATGAAAATCCATCTTCGTATCTTTGAAGTTGACTTATCAAGTCTTCTCCTTACACTGCCTTGTAGGTCTCCCTGAGTTCATTTTTCAAGCTGGGTTAGGCAAGCCAGAGATGGAATTAGTTGGCTGAAACCCCAAAAAGAATCGTGAATTTTCTTGCAATCAAGTTCAAAATTGTGGTTTGCCATGATTATAATATTGGTAGCCATATGAGGAAAACAGTGGAATGGTTGCTTCATTCATGTAGATAGTTCAGCCTGACATGTATTCAATCAGCCATTACTTGAAGGGTAAGGCAGGAATCCTACATTTTGTGCATTCGATGGAAAGGAAAATGGTATATGGTGGAATCATCATTCACTAAATGTTATAGGGTGAGCTTCAAAGTTCAAAAAGCTGAGGGCAAGTGCATTTGAGTTGATGGTGATGTGTAACGCAGGTTGTACTGGTTTATGCATGCCATGTGAAGTTTATTTTTTAGCTGAAATTTTTGTTGGCGTCCAAGTAAGACTATGGGTGCAGTTTGCTTCTTGTTGTCAATAAAGACGTATACTTTGTCTGATTCAATATTTGTTCTGCGGTTCTGTTATCTCTAACAAGGGCCTAAAGGGATTTCTTAGGCTTAAAATGGACCCTTCCAGGGTAGTGATGGGGCCTGTCTTGATGCAAAAGAGGCACCTCATTGAATTTCTTAGCTGAATTTTCAGATTCTGCTAAGGCTTACCAGTGTGTGGAAGGAAGCTCAAAGCTACAGTGTTTTCAGGTCAAGAATGACGCCATTTTCTTCTAGAACATTGTTTTGTAATAGGAACAGATCAAGGGCGTCTCAAGTACTTAACTGAGGACAGATTGATTGCTGAGGACTTGGGAGGATGTGGAAGCCTTCATTCAAAGAGCAATTTCCTTCATTTCATTTTCACCTCGATGGCAAAGTGAATCTTAATGGGAGAGTGATAGGGTCCCTCGGAATTGGGAGGCAAAATTAGTTAGGACTTAGGAGGATCATTATATGTAGAAGGGAGGAAAACGAGAGAGGCAAACAAGTTGTAGGCTATGTTGGGGCACCAATGGATGTTTGGGAGAAAGCTGGCTTCTCCAATTGCAAGTATTGTATCTGTTCAATTTGATGCACATTATCTATGATTATTTTGTTATGCCTTGTATCATCTATAAACTGTAATGAATATTTTAAGTGACATGTTCAGAAAATATTGTAAGGTGGGACTGAGATGTCTTTTCAGTAATAATGGTCTGCGATGCATTGATAAATTCATGTTTCACTAACATTATCAAGATGAAAGTAAGTAAAATATGTGATAAATTTACAACACGACATAGTGTAATTTTTCCATCAGATCTTGTTATTGTTACAATGAAGAAAGAATGTCTTCGTCGCGAAATACAAATGGCTGCATAGAAGCTTCTTACTTGTCAAATGGCGAGTGTGCACCTTCACTCTCTTACGTGGTTGTTTACTCATTCTCAGCGAGGTAATCGGCAAGCTGCAGGCTCACTTATAATATTTTGTGTCTCTCTCAAATGAATTTATAAAGAAAGGGAACTGTAGTAGATTGAGTAAACCCCTACATTTGCTCCTCACAAATTTGGAAGCAGACAAATTAGTCATGAGCATGCAAAAATCCCACCTTGGTATGTCATAACCATAGATGTCAATCATATTACTTTTAGACTTTGTATAAAATATGACTTGACCCTTGTGCTTCTTAAGAATTAAGATGAGATGTGTGTAAGGAGATCGATGAAAAGAGAGAGAATTATGAAAAACTGAATGTATGTTAACTTTACAAGATTCAGTGCTCTATTTATATTACAATACTACATTAGCCAATATTGAAAATTGATATGAAGAAGTTGCAACTAACTAACTAACTGACACATGATTAGTTGCTGAGTTGGCATGTGTGCTAACTTGAGCTGGTAGTATGTTATTGTTCATTACCCCCCACCCAAGAAGCGGGATGATGAATATCAAAGAGACCCAGCTTCTTGACATTTAAATTGAAAGGCTGAGGATGTAATGCTTTTGTAAAGATGTCTGCGACTTGAGCTTCAGAGGAAACTGGAAGCAAATGTAGAAGAACTGCGTTATTCTTTTCACGGGTAATATGGAAATCTAGCTCTATGTGTTTGGACCGCTCATGGAAAGCTGGATTATGTGCAAGATAAATGGTTGATCTGTTATCACAAAAGACAGAAGCAGGTTTTGTAGGAACAAGATAGCGATCCTTGAGAAGAAAGTGAAGTCATTGGAGCTCATATGTCAGGCTTGCTAAAGATCGATATTCAGCCTCCGTGGAAGAACGAGAAACAGTGCTTTGTTTCTTCAATTTCCATGAGACTAGAGCAGATCCAATGAATATGCAGAAGCCAGTGATGGAGCGTCTAGTGTCCAAACAACATGCCCAATCTGCGTCAGCAAAAGCAGAAACATGGGTGTTGTTATTTGCAGGGAAGAGTAATCTTTTCCCTGTAGAACATTTTAAGTAACGTAGTATTCTGAGTGTTGTGATATGGTGGGACTGCATAGGATTAACAACGTATTGGTTTAATTGTTGTACAGAGAAGGCAATATCTGGTCTTGTGGTCGTCAAATAGAGAAGACGACCAATAAGACGTTTGTAGGATGTAGCATCTTGAGAAGGTTCTCCTTGTATACGTTGCATTTTCTGAGAAGGATCAAAAGGTGTAGTTGCAGGTTTGGCAGCCAACAATCCGCCATCTTGAAGTAACTCAAGACAATATTTACGTTGATTCACAGCAATTCCTTTAAAAGAACGAGAAAGTTCCAAGCCCAAAAAATAACAAGCTGGTTCAAGATTCTTTATTTTGAATTTGTTATCCAAGAAGTTCTTAACACGAAGTATCTCATTTGAATCATTTCCCGCAAGCAAAACATCATCCACATAAACTAACAGTGGTGTGAATGACGAATTAGCTTTGCGAACAAATAGAGAATGATCTGCTGATGACTGCTTGTAACCAAGAGATATCAATGAGGAAGACAATTTAGCATATCATTGGCGACTTGCTTGTTTCAAACCATATAATGATTTTTGGAGTTTGCAAAACTTGTTGGGAAGTGGAGAAATGAATCCAGGTGGAATACTCATATAGACATCTTCATGAAGATCTCCGTAGAGAAAAGCATTGTTGACATCAAGTTGTTGAAATATCCAACCATGGGCAGTAGCCAAAGAGAGAAGAACATTGTTGACCTAGGGTCGTGGTGTGTCATCCGGGTAGGAGCACACTAGGAAGTCTCGGGTGTATATGGATGGAAGGGGTACCTTGATTGTGGTTCTTGGAACACGCCTTGGATGAGACCCGTAGGCTTATATGCCGATGACGTTGCATGGTATTGGTAGCTACCATTCCAACTTCGTCGTATTTTATATCCCGATATTCCCCAGTTTCTCTAAATCCCTTGCTATATCCCGTTTTGAAAGTGGTTGTTTTATATTATTTATATGTATCGAAGCGAACCATTGAGCGGAGTTTTCTTCAGAACCTCTGGGTTACTGAAATATATCCGTATATCTCACCCCGTCTTGGGGCACTATTTCAGGAGGTAGCAGTGGCAGTGGAGCGGCGGGCAAGAAGCCCGCAGGATGACTAGTGGGAGCACCTTTACCATTTTGCATTTTGTTGGCCATGTGGCCTAGGCTAGACTTAGGGCATGAACATCTCATATGTATGTAGGATGAGTTTCATTAGCATATTTGTTCATGTCGTTTTGCCTAAGTCTAGTAGTCATGTCGTTTAAGCTTATGTTTCGAATTGTAGTGAAAGTTGTAATAATTGTAAGTTGTAATTTAAAGTTGAAGTTGTAAGTTGTAACATGTAAGTTAAATGTTGTAATTGTACCTTGGATGCATGATGTATTACGATGGAAGGGCCTTAGGCCTATTTTAGGTTATGATTATTTATATGTCGAGAATTTGCATGAAAATGGATCTTGGTGATTGAAACAAGTTAAGGATTATAAAGTGAGCTATATTGTGTAATAAATATAAACTGAGTTGGGTTGTAAGTGTCTCAAGGCATTGTTGGTCCTTGTGTGTGTCACCCATTGGATTATTAGGTATACTTGAGGTACTAGAGAGCTTATGCAAATTTGGAGATTTTAGGAAAAACAAAGGAAACTTTGGCGAAATTTCGGTAGAATTGGCAGATTTTAGACGAATTTTGGGAGAGCATATCTCCCTCCACAGAGGTCCAATAGGGACGTGCCATATGCCATTTTAACCCTTGAGATGTCCCCTACATTGTGTCAAAATATGAGAATATTATGGGTTCCACGAAGCCCTGTAGAAGCCAGTGAAAACCGACTGTCCAGAACCCTCTTATGTAGGGGCTGTTTCTGGCAGTTTTTGGGAAATTAATTCCCGCTTCGTTTCTCAGTCAAATTAAGCATATGATATATCAAATTGAAGTTTGAGGTGTCTAGTTTGTAAAATAAAAATTTAAGAGCAATTGGATGAGTGGATTCTCTGCAGTAATTCGTGGAGTGAGTGTGGTTTTGAGCTGTTTTGGGGTTGGTTGGCAGTTTTGTTTGTCCAACTTCAAACGGTGATAAGCGGAGCAAATGAGCTCCGATTAAAGTGTGTGATAGATTTTTAGAAAGGGAATTAAATAAGAAAAAAAGATAACTAGAGAGGAAGGTCTGATTTTGTCCGGTGTGTTCGCAGAAAAATAATTAGTGAACCATGTTCGGATAGGTAAAAACGTAAGATTGACAAATTGGCTAAGTGGGTTTATGGGAACCCCATAGTGACTTATAATAAGTAAAGTAAGATGTAAAAATAGTTTAAATAAGTATTCCGCAAGAGTTTACAGTTATGGTCACAACTTTTAATTATTACGCTTATATTGTTTTAAATGCTCGCGTAATAATCGGAAAAAGTTTATTCGCATTTTTATAAATGAATTGTTTTGATTGTAACTGCGCTTAATATTATAATTAATGTTAACAATACCGGTGTACAACGGGCTGTTACAGGTTCTGTTTTTGGAAATGGAAAATAAGTTTCAAAAAATATGACATGGCGGGATATGAATATTGTGTGAGCTAAAAGATCATAGAGTATATAACCTTTTGTGTTTGGTTGAAATCCAAGAAATGCACATTTTATGGCTCGGGGATCAAACTTTGAACGAACCTTTAGGTGGATAAGGATGGGAGGTAGATTGTATAGCTTTTGAAAGGGACTTTTGTTTTGAAGAACAGGTGATGTAATTCGGATGATTAGGTGGGTTGCATGGGTTACAACATAGCACCAAAGTTTAGGGGGTAGGTTGGCTTGAAATGTCAAAGCTCTAGCAACATTTAATATGTGACGACGCTTTCTTTTCACTATTCCATTTTGCTGTGGAGTTTCAACACATGTACGTTGATGAATAATTCCCTTGTCATTGTAGAATTCAGTCATGATAAATTCTGGTCAATTATCTAACCGTATGGTTTTAACTCTGTGTTGAAATTGATTTTCTACATAATTGACAAAATTTTGTAAAGAACTCCTCGTTTTTTATTTTGTTTTCATCAGAATGAGCCATGTATAACGGTTGCAATCATTTACTAGTGTGAGGAAGTATTTGTGACCATGTAATGATGGGGTTGAGTAAGGACCCCATATGTCTGCCTGTAAGATTTGGAAGGGGTTTTCAGTAGCTGTGGAGCTTAAAGGGAAAGGGAGTTTGGACTGTTTTGCAAATTGGCGTATTTTTTTGAAACTTATTGTTTCATTAGTGTGCGTCACCTGAATTTCTTCTTGTACTTTTTTTTTTGCTTAAAGACGAAAAGCTAGCAGGCTGACTCAGGGCTATATAAAGATTAATGTCATAATAAACCCACCTCAGTGTAGCTTTGAACCTTAAATAATTTTCCGTTAGTTTAATTCAAGCCAGTGACCCTTACGAATATTCAATGAAATTATCTAATTTTCTCTTTTTAAAAATATATATTTAGAACCACAATGTATGCTTCTAGTTTTATTTCTTGTCCGACTAATATATATCTTGTCGACAATACTCTTCGCAAAATAAATAAATAAATAAATGAAATAAAAATAAAAATTGGCTAATGCTTTTGGAATTAGTTTAGTTTCAATTAAACTGATATTGTATCCTTTTGGAGTTGGCTAATGCTTCTGGAGGTGGTGAACCTAATTGGAGAGCCTTGCAAGATTTCTATTCTATATAGATATGATTTATTTCCTAAACAAATGTAACTCTTTGTTCACCTTACTAAGCTTTCATTGGGCTGATCCTTGTTTTGACTACTGGTTATTTTATAACTATAAGCCAAATGTGAATGTGTGAGGCCCATTGTGATTTTGCCACTCAGCTGAAGATGAATCTTTTATACACTAAGCAACACATCAAAACATCAGCGTTTTGTGTGATGGCTTAAGTGTATACTTGTTCCCTTTTGTCCGTGTGTTGATCATTAGAAAATTCATTATGATATTTTTGCTCTCTCTCCTGAAAAAGAAAATGCTCTCTGTTAGGGTTTGTGAGCGTGAGTGTTTTGTGCAAACACTGAGTGAATCTTTGTGAATCTGGTTATGCTACTTTGGAGAACCTTGTTCATCTCGACAAGATGGTTCGATTGATCGGTGGATTTTTCTGTTTGGTGTACAAACTGGTGAAGAGGGAAATCTGCAAGGAAGAACGGAGAAGCTCGTGGTGTGTAGCTTGGGTGTTCTTTAAAGGAACAACGTTTCCTTGGTGTCTTGTGAAGATTGGGAAGTTCTCTTCATCCTTTTGTATTCTTATCTTACCGGTTATGGGTTCTGTCTCTTGAGTTCTTTAATTCATGATTCTTTGTCCTGTTAATTTCTTGCAATTAGTTTCTCCATGTTTTGATTATGTATAGCTGTTACTGTATGCTTCAAACTCTGGTTCTTATTTTCTGATCTTGAATAAAGTTCGTAATCAGAGGGCGTTTAACCATCTTTAGGCCCCAGGACGTAGGAAACTCACTGACACTGAGTTTCTGAACCTGTAAAATACTGGTGTATCATTCTTTATGCTTTCTTTATTCTGTCTTGCCATGTTCTTTGCGTTACTGTTTGCGAAAAGTATTCCCAAAATTACTACAAGTGGTATCAGGAGCTTAGGTTCCATTTCTCTTTCTGTCTTTTTCTTTGGTCTGTCGTACTCCCCCCCCCCCCCCTCTTCCATTCGGTTTGCTTGCTCAGCTGTGGAGGTTCGGCAAGATGGGCATCACTAAGCTGGAGGTGGAGAAATTTGATGGGAGAAGTGATTTCAATATGTGGAAAATTAAAATGAAGGCTGTGTTGGTCCAGCAAAAATGTGAGGATGCAATTGAAGCTGAAAAGGACCTGCCTGAAAACTTGACACCAAAAGAAAAGAAGGACCTGCTATCTTTAGCCCATAGTCTTATAGTTATCAATATCTTTGATAGTGTACTGCGTAGGATTAGCAAGATCACTGACCCTCATGAGCTCTGGCTGAAGTTAGAGAGTCTGTATCAAACCAAGTCAGCCCCCAACAAAATGTTCTTGAAGGAAAGATTTTTTTCCTTCAAGATGGACCCTGGTAAGTGTCTAGAGGACAACCTAGATGAGTTTAATAGGTTAACTCTACAGCTTGAGAATGCAGGGGTTGTTGTCTCTGAAGAGGATCAAATATTGATCCTCTTGAATTCTCTTCCTAACTCCTACAGAGGGGTTAAGGATGCTATAAAATACAGTAAGGGGGATATGACCATTGATGAAATTACTGAGGCCTTGAGGGCTAGAGAAGTTGAAATAATTTCTCATAAAAAGCCTACTGCTGAGGCCTCTATGTTAAAGGGAAGGGAAATAAAAAGGGAAAGTCAAACAGTAAGAAGAAGGGGAACAACAATACTGTTCCCCAAGGTAATCAAAGTGTCCAGGGAAACCAAGATAAGAGTCAAGGTCAACCACAAGCCAAGCTTGTGTGCTGGCACTATCATAAAGAGGGCCACCTGAAAAGGCATTGCCCTGAAAACCCAAAGAGTGTCCCCAAACAGCAAGGTAAAACTGAGTATGCAAATGTACTCACTAAGTTTGACAGTGTTGAAACACTGGTTCTGTCTGATAAAACTTTTGAAGATGAATGGGTGATGGATTCTGGGTGTACATATCATATGACACCCAGAAAAAAGTGGCTTAGTGGGCTGGAGTCTCAAAGGGGTGGCAAAGTCTTAACGGGGAATGACCAAGTGTGTGAAATAAAAGGTGTGGGGTCTGTCATGTTCAAGATGGGTGATGGGAGCTGTAAAATTCTAAAGGAAGTTAGATTTGTTCCCACATTAAGGAGAAACTTGATCTCCTTAGGGATGCTTGACTCTAGTGGCCTTGAGTTTAAAAGTAAGCAAGGACTACTTGATATTTTCAAGGGATCACAAGTCCTCATGAGAGGAAAACTTGTGAATGGCCTCTATATATTAGAAGGCCAAGCTGTCACACAAAAAGCCTATGTGGCAGCTGCCAAAGTTGATGAATCCATTCTCTGGCATAGGAGACTTGGACACATCAGCAACCAGGGGCTGTCTGAGCTGTATAAGCAAGGTATTATTAGCTCAAAAGAGGCAACTTGTGTGGAGTTTTGTGAAAACTGTATTTTGAGAAAAACTCACAAGCTCCCCTTTGCTGCTGCTAGCAATACCTCTAAGGCAGTGCTTGAATATGTCCATTCAGACCTGTGGGGATCTCCAAATATCCCTAGTTCATTATCTGGATGTCACTATTTCTTTTCAATAGTTGACTCATATTCCAGAAGGGTCTGGACCTATTTTCTAAAACATAAGGATCAAACTTTTGTTAGTTTCAAGGATTGGAAAATCCTGGTTGAGAATAAAACTGGAAAAAGGGTTAAAGTCCTTAGGACTGACAATGGCTTAAAATTTTGCAACAATCAGTTTGCTTATTTTTGCAAGGAGCATGGGATCCAAAGGCATAGGACCTGTGCTGAAACACCCCAACAAAATGGGGTGGCTGAGAGGATGAATAGGATAATTTTGAATAAGGTGAGGTGCATGCTTGCTGAATCTGGTCTTGGCAAAATATTTTGGGCAGAGGCTGTTGCTACAGCCACCTATGTTATAAATAGGTGTCCCTCCTCCACCATAGACTTTAAGACCCCAATGGAACTTTGGTCCAATAAGCCACCCAATTTAAGTCACCTAAAACCCTTCGGGTGTCTTGCCTATATGCACATTAGGCAAGATAAATTGAGTTCTAGAGCCTTAAAGTCTGTCTTTATAGGGTACCCCCTTGGTGTAAAAGGTTACAAGCTTTGGCTTATAGCTGAAAGGAAGTGTGTGGTCAGTAGGGATGTCATTTTCAAAGAAAATATTTTCTACAAGGACATAACTAGTGAGTCGAGTTCTTCCCAACCTTCTGAAACTTTGCAGTTTCAAGTGGAGCAAGCTGCCATACCTGTACAGCATGCTGATAGGGAAGAATGGATGGAACAACCAGCTGTTCCTGGTCAACCAGAGCTAGAAACTGGTCCCCTTGATGAAGGTGGACAGGTTGAAGAGGGAAATGGTGGTCTTGATGACTACTTGCTGTCACGAGACAGAGTTAGGAGGAATATTAGACCTCCAAGTAGGTTTGCACATGTTGATGTGGTTGCATATGCCTTACAAGTAGGGGATGTGCTTGAATTAGATGAACATGCTACTTTTAAAGAGGCTATGAGACTGGAATCCAAGAGTAATTGGGTAAAAGCCGTGGATGAGGAAATGGATTCTTTAAAAAAGAATAACACATGGGTTCTGGTGGAGAGACCAAAGAAAAAGAGAGTAATTGGCTGTAAGTGGATTTATAAAAGAAAACCTGAAATACCAGGAGTGAAACCAGCAAGGTTCAAAGCTCGGGTAGTGGCAAAAGGGTACTCCCAGGTTGAAGGGATTGACTACAATGAGATCTTCTCACCTGTGGTCAAACATGTATCCACAAGGCTGATGTTATCTGCTGTTGCTATCTATGATTTAGAACTGGAGCAGCTTGATGTCAAGACTGCCTTCCTCCATGGCAATATTGATGAGCAAATCTATATGGAACAGCCTGAAGGCTTTGTAAAGAGGGGGACAGAAAACATGGTGTGCCTGCTGAAGAGATCATTATATGGTCTCAAACAGGCACCCAGACAATGGTATAAACGTTTTGATGATTTTGTTTTATCAAAAGGTTTTGTAGAAGTATTTTTGATCATTGTGTCTATTTTAAAAATTTACATGATGAATGTTACATTTATCTGTTAATATATGTGGATGATATGTTGATTGCATCTAAAAATTTAAGTGAAACAAATTCTGTTAAGAATATGCTGAAAAAGGAATTTGAAATGAAATTTCTTGGACTAGCCAAGAGGATCTTGGCATGGAAATTACAAGGACAAGGGAAGATAGACATCTATCTCTATCCCAGTCTGAGTATGTGAAAAAGGTTCTAAGAATCTTTGAGATGCATCAGTCCAAGCCTGTTAGCACTCCATTAGGTGCTCATTTTAGGTTGAAAGCTGTTTCTGGAGAATTATCTCCTGAAGAGACACAGTATATGTCATTTGTTCCCTATTCTAATGTTGTTGGTTGTTTAATGTATGCTATGATTGGCACAAGGCCAGACATAGCATATGGAGTTAGCATGATAAGCAGGTTTATGAGTAAACCTTGCAAAGAGCACTGGAGTGCAGTTAAATGGTTACTTAGATACTTAAATGGATCTATGAATTGCTGTTTAAATTTTTCTGCACTTGATTCTAATGATTTTAATATTGTTGGATATTGTGATTCTGATTATGCTGCTGATCTTGATAAACGTAGATCACTAACTGGTTTTGTGTTTACTGTGGGAGGTAATGTGGTGAGCTGGAAATGCAATCTCCAGCACATAGTTGCATTGTCAACAACAGAAGCTGAATATGTGACATTGACTGAAGCTGTCAAGGAAGCCATATGGTTAAAAGGTATAGTGTGTGAGTTGGGTTTTGGTAAGAACCCACCAAAGGTAAATTGTGACTCACAAAGTGCTATTCATCTTTCTAAAAATTCTGCATTTCATGAAAGAACAAAACATATTGATGTTAGGCTTAATTTTATTAGGGAGATAATAGCTAGTGAACAAGTATCTGTTGAAAAGATTTCTGGTATTATTAACCCTGCTGATATTTTTACGAAACCTGTACCTGTTAGCAAATTTAGACATGCTCTAGGTTTGCTAAAAATTGAATCACCATGATCATGCATTGCATATGGGCCTATTGGTTAAATGCCCACACCAAATCTGGTTTGTTGTTTTTTATTCTGATTTGTGTTTAGAAAATAGGTGGAGTTTTGTTGTATATAGATATATTTTATTTCCTAAACAAATTTACCTCTTTGTTCACCTTACTATGCTTTCATTGGGCTGATCCTTGTTTTGACTATTGGTTATTTTATAACTGTGGGCCAAATGTGAATGTGTGAGGCCCATTGTGATTTTGCCACTCAGCTGAAGATGGATCTTTTATACATTAAGAAACACATCAAAACGTCAGCGTTTTGTGTGATGGCTTAAGAGTATACTTGTTCCCTTTTGTCCGTGTGTTGATCATTAGAAAATTCATTCTGATATTTTGCTCTCTCTCCTGAAAAAGAAAATGCTCTTTGTTAGGGTTTGTGAGAGTGAGTTTTTTGTGCAAACACTGAGTGAATCTTTGTGAATCTGGCTATGCTACTTTGGAGAACCTTGTTCATCTCGACAAGACAGTTCGATTGATCGGTGGATTTTTCTGTTTGGTGTACAAACTGGTGAAGAGGGAAATCTGCAAGGAAGAACGGAGAAGCTCGTGGTGTGTAGCTTGGGTGTTCTTTAAAGGAACAACGTTTCCTTGGTGTCTTATGAAGATTAGGAAGTTCTCTTCACCCTTTTGTATTCTTATCTTACCGGTTATGGGTTCTGTCTCTTGAGTTCTTTAATTCATGATTCTTTGTCTTGTTAATTTCTTGCAATTAGTTTCTCCATATTTTGATTATGTATAGCTGTTACTATATGCTTCAAACTCTGGTTCGTATTTTC